AACCAACCGGGCTCCGATATCTTGTTCATTAGCAATAGGACCTAACTTGCGATAAATTGAGGATTCATAATCCCCCAGGCGATTTAAAAAAAAATCTATTTTTTTGGTTATTTCGTTAATGTGAAAACATTTCATAATATTACTACTTTTATATTATATACTTATTAATTATACTAGTTATTAGTATACTCACACTCCTTCTAACGCTTAAAAAACTTTCAAACTAATACTTACTCTTTCAATAGACTTGGCTGGTGGCAGAAATAAATTTACTACTTTTTTCGTAAATCTAATGGTAATGGTGATATAAAAGACAATAATAAACATAATAAAAAAAACCAGTTATGGAAATTACCACAATATCAAACAACGAGATAAAACCACCACGCAGAATAATAAACGCTTGTAATACCTGCCGTGAGCCCATTTACGAAGGTGAGCCAATTTATAGTAGTTCACGAGATAAGCAAACAGGTAAATCCGGCGGTCTTTACGGAGGAGCGGGTGGACAAGTTCCTCTGATGAGTAGTCAAGGAGGTGTTGGCGGTGGAGTTTATGGTGGCAGTTTCGGTAGCGATACGAGCGGGGAAGTTTGAGCACAATGTGCTTGGTGTTACGACCAATGACAAGCTGAAGTGCAACGGGCTAAATGGTTCTGATGAAGATGGCGTACTATAGAATTGGGGGTTGATATCATTTGAGTATTAATAATAGATTTTTTTGGTTGAGTTCCGAAGTTCATTGATGACCACATTCCAACAGAAAAGAAAGGACAAAAATGAATTCCAATATTGTTTGCTATAATAACTGCTTTATTATTCACTATTATTATGGAAATTATTGGTCGTTTCTTCTTTTATCCAAATGTTGACCGCTATAAAATGCGGAAAAGACCTGCTGCCCTAAAAAAACAGTATTAAGACGATATGGAAAATCTTCGCAAAATAGTAAATACTTGTAATAACTGCTGAACGCCGATTTATGAAGGCGAGGCTGTTTACCAGGTGGTTGTTAAATCCAACTATGCTAATAATGAAATTGCTCCTCCGTGAACAGATTCAGTGGGAACTGGTGATAATAGGAAAGGAGAAATTACCGAAAATTGAGTGCAATGCAACTGGTGTTACGAAAAATGACAAGAGGAATTAGCCAGAAGCAAGATACCTCCGGCTAATTGGTGATTAAGAGGAACGCTACTTTATTTTTTCTTGACAGGAGCAGCAACTTGGGCTTATCTTCATTTCCGGGAAGAAAATGCTAGAAAGGCTAATTTTAACTTTCGTGGTCTCTTAGACAAAAAAATTCCCGAAGAAGTAATAATTGTCCCAGGAATTTTTCTTTTGGGTATTCCATTAGTAATTTTAATATATCTAATTTTCCGTTCCCAACCTATAATAGTTAACCGCTTCAAAATCCGTAAAAAATTATAAAAATGAAAAAAAAAGAAAAAGTTATCTTTCTCCACGATAACCCGTGAGGAAAAAAATACGAAATAAAACAAGTAGCCCGAGGTTTTGTCGCTAATTATTTGTTACCACACCAAAAAATTTTGTTTTACAACCACAAAAATTTCGAGTGAGTAG